AACCCGGTTGGAAAGGAATTATATACTAAACAAAACTAACCAATGCAGCTTACTAAACACCACAACACATAGCATAACAGCATGACTAAGAAAAGGAAACCAACGGTACCCAAACCGGATTAACCCAGTTTAAAACTGGATAATTTATTCTTTTGAAGACTATTATAAAGTCTAAGAAAGAAATAATAAAACACAAAAAAGTCGAAAGACAAACCCATACCACAAACAATTTGATTTTTGAAAAAAGGACACAACCAACAAAACATAAGAAAAACCACAACAAACCCAACATAAAACGTTGTCACATAACAGGACTTCTCACAAAAACCGCATGCAATCATACTCCCACTCCTGGCCTAACCCACCAGGAAGGACGTCCTGAGCATGCTCTATAGCCGGCCTAACCCACCGCGCTACATCCACGCTTTGTGACCACACTCCTATTTTTAATAAGAGCTACTCAAGGGTGAGTAACTCTTCAAAATAACTGAACTAAAACAAAAAGCTTTTGTGAAAACAACTAACTAAAATCATAATTAAAAGATATTAAACTAATAAAAGTTTTATAAAATGTAAATTACATTATGCAATACATAGATCAGAATACAACACTAAGGACGAACATCCAAAGACAAAACGACCCCACTACACTCGAGAAAGAATGGCCAACTACAATCGATATGCCGCTCACAATCACAACTCAAAGGATTTAGAGTACGACTTGACTTCGCAGAAAAGGACTTCATTGAACTAGACCAATGACCACCTCGATGTTCAAGTATACGTACAGATCCGAGTAACCAGGCATCCCCTCCATGCACAATCTCCACGCCATTCCTAGACAAGATCAAAACACAAAGAAGTTCTCATTAATGAAACAGAAAAACCTGACATAGCCAACCATTCTGAAATCAGATTTGAGTTTGTTGCAAAGACCCAGTCGTTGTCATGAGATGACACAACGATCGAACCTGGAACTTCTCTAACAAGAGAACCCAGAAGAAATATGATGTTCGCCAAATACCAACGTCCATCATCCATCCTTTGAATTGCAGAAAGACTATTCTAAAAAACTCTGTAAAACCCGGATGGGTGGAACCTGATCTAAACTACATTTTATGATTGGATAAATTAGATATTTTACCAATGTAAAGTATTTAATATTAACCAATCATGATCCATCTGACTAACAATCCACTTATTTGTAAGTGCTGAAATTACTTGTAATTTCAGCACCAGAGAGATTTAAATTTAACTTAGAAATTAGTTGACTCTCCAAGAAGACTTCAGCAACCGCAATAAACCAGTATACCCTAGATCTATTGAGCCTAGCAGAGACTAGTTAAACAACCTGAGACTAGATAGTATAAGAGTAAGATTAGGATCGGTATTAGACTAAGAAGTTGCACGAATCTATCCGGCCGAAAATAAGATAGCGTGACGAGCAGACGGTGTACCCTATCCGAAATTACTCTATGAGTTATACCCATCGGTCATAACTCAATAACACCAAAATCAATACAGTAGGAAATCTTCTTTTAGTGCTGAAACAGTAGGAAAGCGAAAAAACCTACGATTGGGCATCGATTTATTTCTCTGCAAACTTTTAAAAAGTGTTGCTTAGTTTTAGAGCAAGCTTCCTTCTGTTGCTTACAAAAAGTTCTAGCAGCCCATTTAGCCGGTTGTATTTTCCATCTTTTTTTTTCAAGATTAGATGAGAAAAAATTTTGACCTGCCCCTCAAATTGATCTAGGAAAAAATCATTGTTTAGCCTTGCCCTAAAAAAAGCTGCCTTCCTTTGCTCTAAAAAATAAGAGCTGATCGGAGAATCCTACGATATGATCGTTAAAGAAATTCAGAAATTCAGTAATTGTTTAAAACCCAGTAAAATTGACCAGCTGTCTCTTTTTTTCGGCTCCGAAATTACTCTATGAGTTATACCCATCGGTCATAACTCAATAACACCAAAATCAATACAGTAGGAAATCTTCTTTTAGTGCTGAAACAGTAGGAAAGCGAAAAAACCTACGATTGGGCATCGATTTATTTCTCTGCAAACTTTTAAAAAGTGTTGCTTAGTTTTAGAGCAAGCTTCCTTCTGTTGCTTACAAAAAGTTCTAGCAGCCCATTTAGCCGGTTGTATTTTCCATCTTTTTTTTTCAAGATTAGATGAGAAAAAATTTTGACCTGCCCCTCAAATTGATCTAGGAAAAAATCATTGTTTAGCCTTGCCCTAAAAAAAGCTGCCTTCCTTTGCTCTAAAAAATAAGAGCTGATCGGAGAATCCTACGATATGATCGTTAAAGAAATTCAGAAATTCAGTAATTGTTTAAAACCCAGTAAAATTGACCAGCTGTCTCTTTTTTCGGCTCTAATCATAAAAATAGCTGGCTGCCAAATGCCAAACTGTGAAGCTCTATGCCACCTCCCTTTGGGGATGCGGCAAAAGTTGGGCTGGCTAAGACAAATATTACTGTCGAAGAACGGCATTTTGGCTCTTAATCATATGTCAGCGGAGCTCAGCCTGATAAGTGAAAAGTATTAGGTTTACTGTTTTGTCAGAGCTCTATCTAGTTTGCTTAACCTGTGTGAAGGTTTTTCGAGTTTTTTGTTCAAGTTTTAGAACTCAAAAATTAAATCCTACTCAAAATTTTTGACAGCTTTGTTTTGATAAGATATTTTGCAGGCCTCGGAAAAGGCACTAGCTTAACAAGAGCAACTAGCAGCTAAATCACTACGGAATCCTCCTGATGATAGGATATCATATGTTTAAGTAGAAGCATGGATATAAAGAACGGTTTTTACAGTTTGACTTAATATAAGTTTTTAACTGGCTCAAAAGATTTAGTAAATAACGCCATTTTTAGTCAAAGGAATTTCAAATAACTGAAGTTCTATTGAATTTCATTCAAATGTTGCTCATTTTCTGGTGGAATCATTTTTTAAATCGGAATGATCAACAGGGTCGTTTTTGTTCGCAATAAACGCACAATAATTTTACGAACACTTTGTTGAACACAGGTTCTTGTTCAAGTACGAACATCTTGGTTGTCATTATATTCTCGTATTGAATCATAATCTTGTTGGGAATTACTTTCTCTAGTGAATTACAGCTTTAACTTCTCTGCTTGTACAAGCTGAGATAGGGTTTTACGGAGCAGACACTCCAGGGTGTTCTTTTTGTCTTTGCTCAGGATTGAAGATAGATCCTGCGGCTCCGACTCTTCCAGCTGTTGAACTGTGGGGTAGTAGTTTGAGTCGTTAGAGGGAAGACAATGTCTTCGGGGCGACGAAGACTTGTTAATCAATGCATGAAAACAAGTTAGATCTCTTTTAACCACTGGGAGTCAACCCGAAGCTGCCAGAAAACTTGACAGATCTAGTGACGGAAAAGCCGAGGAGATCAAATAAAGTTTCTTGAATTTCGTATTCCTCAAGTCTGGAAAAATGTGTTTCGTATGCAGCAATGTTTTATGTTCTGAATCGTTGCTCACTTGGTTGCAAGATATATGTTCATACAACCGGATCTCTAAATTCCCTTCGTAAGCAAGGGCTACCTAGTTCTTATCCGGTTCATCGATACATTTCACATGCAACTATTTGATATGTTATCTTAATAATTAGGTTAAGCAACTTACTCTTGTAGAGGATTGCATATCCTGCGCATGCGACGTTTACAGCGGAGTTCCACAGGGATTCAAATTAGGTCCTCAACTCTTCCCGTGTTATATTAACGACCTGTCAAGATTTTTTAAATGTAGACTGCTCTTCCTTGCTCTTTCTGTTTGCTGATGACAGCAAATAGTTGCTTCGGATTGACAGCTTCATGAATGCTTCACTGTCTTAGAATCATGAGCTTGAATTAACTAAATGGTTGACCAACCCTCCTAAAGCAACATTGTGAATTTCTACGGCGTGCCACCAAATTATAAGCTCTTAGGTGAACCCATAGGAGTAATCACATCTCATGGCGATCTTGAACTCATTGTCTGTGCCTTCTCGTCCTGGACGGAGCTTAATAAATCGCGAATTTCTATAGTCGACTAAAGTTTTTACAGGAGTAATAGAAACGTATCCTCATTGCTCCATTAACTGCTAAACTCAACTTTTACGAGAGCTTCATCTTGGCTCTTGTTACGCGTCTCCGTGCTGGTTCGCTTCAGAAGAGAAATTAGGCTCATCGAACGTTTGCAGAGCAAAATCACCGTGTGGACTTAATCACTAAATAAGTCAGAATCACTAACTTTGACAAAAAGAAGAAACGGACAATATGATCTTTATTTTGATGACTTTGTAAAGTTGTCAAACGCACCGAGCAGAGAAAACAGGATGATATCGCGATATCCTAAGACAGAGCTCTCTCATCAATAATTTTTCATAAGAACATCTCGTGATTTGCGATTTCTTCCGTCTATAGATATCACGCAACCGATTGGTCTCAAGCCCAGACTGCTGGACACCCTGTGGGGGTTCTTCAGCTCAAACTATATAGAACTCAACATATGCACTTGGCATGGGTGATGCAGATGCAGTTTGTGTCTTACTTGACGGCCTTTTTGGGATTGAACTCCCTTCAACTTTTGTTGTAAAGTTATATTATTATTAAGTAGGGCATGTTTGTCTGGTTTCAATAAATTTTCTGCTGTTGGATGTTTACCGAAGTTTATTTTTTCATTTTGGGTTAAAACGGCGTTAAGTTATCAAAATGGTCTGCCTGGTAACATATGTTTTTGCATCTAGCTTTGCTTTTGTTATTTTATGCAAGTTTGAAAAGAGCATGAAATTCTAAAAATAGCGATTGCGAATACAAGATCGCTTCATATGTTCGTCTCAAATAATTGTTTACGGGCTCAAGGAAATTTTTAAAGCTCAAACTTCTACGCGTAATTTTTCTTATATTTTGTTTGATTTCATACCATGTTTTTTAAATAATGCGTTCATTTTCGATTAAAATAAATGCTGTGACCGTACGTTAACAATAGAGAATATACGGTCAAATGGCTCAATCGCAGCTAGTACTGAAACTGAATCAAATTCGAATACTGTAATTCTGTGACAATCAAATAGCACCTACACGCATTTGTCCACGTTTTACGCCACTTAAACTACAATGAGAATGTGAAGTTATTACATTTTCAATTTCGTTTGAAAGAAATTCTTATGTCATTGGAAAATTTTAGTTCATTATTTTCTTATCTTAGGCTTCATTGTGTTTGAATGCAACGAAAGCAAAATTGTGCGTCTTTTCCAAGGTAAGAGTTTTTCGTTGCTTATAGTTGACTGAAAATAATTTAAGGGCTCGCTTTTATAAAATTTGAACTGAACTGAGAAATCCAATATTTTTTTTGGTTGGGCCAAAATGTTTACCTAGAAATTTAGACAGGTCCAGAGTGAGTCATCTATGTAGTGTTGAGATTGAAATTACTGCGAGTGTATAGAAAACATATTGTGAAGGGTTGGCTGAACCAAATACTATGGTATAACTAAACATCGAATCAGAATAGCACCTACTTGGTCCAACTTCGGTGATTGATTTTTTGGAAGTATCATTTTAATTGACCAACATATTAGTAAGGTGGTTTCCATTTGAGCAGCTTAGAGTTTTTTGACCGCACTCTTTTTTGCTGTAATCATTCACAAAATTTCTCAATTTTGCAGACAACCTATCGCTTTGTCAAATCGAAGTTGAACTCAAAATTAAGCCTGATAAAAAAATTCATAGTTGCTTGATTTTTTCAAATTTCACTTGTCTATTTTGCAGCGATAGCTGTGGTCGTATTCTGTGCTGTTTGGAAACAGACCGGCTACTCTAGTTATTCTTAAGTCCTTCTTTTTGTACCGACTTTCGAAGAACGTGAGGAATGTAAAATGCTTGGTGGTTTCGTTTTTTCCAGAGCAATTTACAAAAGAACATTCGCTGAGTGGCGGATCGAACCCTGGATCTTCCTATTCCCGACGGGGTCATACGCAACAATATGTTAACTTGTCTAAGGAGTCTAATTAAGAGTGTGAATAAACCAGCCGAAGAATAAACCAACCGAAAATGCGCAGAGTATATAAACCAGCCGAAAAGTTAAGTCATATGAAACCAAAGTATATAAACCAGTCGAAAAGTTACGTCATATGAATCAAATTTGCATAACTTCCGTAACTGTTATATAATTGTTACATAACTATAATATAACAATTAAGCATTTTCGGCTTGCTTATATAGTAGCTGGTTTATACTTCGTCTGGTGTTCATACCACCCTTATTAAACTGCTCGTTATGTACTTTCTAGCGATTGATTTATTCAGACGCTTAACGAATTTTTCAGACTCATACGGATAAAACGAATAACACCTGAATGTCTTCACCTGCGAGAGCCAGTGACTTGTTATCGGGAATGAGACTTTTTTCCCCCGTGAATAACTTTTCGTATATTTTTCGCCGACATGCTCAAAGGCTGACGTGCTCATTTTCTTGAAAGTTCAGATAAAACTATTTTTAGTTCATGTGGAGTAGTAAATAATTTTTCAAATATAATTAATGAAAAACGTTGATTCGGATTTGAGGTCTGTCCTAATATCTGTCGGCTGATTTTTTTTTTCAAATTTAATTTATTTTATCTGGTAAGCTTTTCCAGGGGTTCTTTTTCAAAGCTGGGGTTTTAAACTTTTGTTTTAAGCAGACTTTACCACTATTAAAAGTTGCTCTGTAGTTTGTAGATTTACCAACTCTGATTTTGAATATTTTCTTTGATTTTTTTTTCAATTTAACGGGTTCGGCGTGTATTATATCGGCTTAGTCAATTCATATTGTGCAGTTTCAAGGGCGAATTGTCTTTAATGCTTCTGCCTGTTTCAGGTGGATGGTTCGTAAAAACTTATGTAGCTTGATTTTTTGAATGTCTACAGTTTCGTTTTCAGCTTAACTAGGTTCGACCCACGTTTTTTTGCCTTAGTTGCCACTTGGTCATTGATTCCCTGTGCTATTTAGGGCTATAACAACGTCGATGACAAAGGTATCAATTATTTTAAAGAGTTTTCTCGACTTTTGTCAAGTTATTTTTTCAGCTTAGTTTTTTTGCGATTAAGCAAGCATTATCAAACCGGAATATAGACTTTTTTCGGGCTAACTACTTGTTTAACAGAATCATTTGTATTTTGGTTAATAATGAATTCAAATTTTGTGCGCTCCCGGCCAACTTAGCCTGGAGCTAACGAATATACCTTGGGTCGGAAAATTCGTGGGTGCCAGGTTTTTTTAAGCTGGAGATATTCTGTTTCAAAAAAAGTTGTCGGTGCATTATTTGTCTTTTTATTGTTGGCTTAGTTGTCTAAAATCATGGACTCGTTCGTTTTTTTGCTGCGCGCATTTTTTTCCAAAGTTGCTTTTAGTGTTTGATTTACTCCAACAATTTGTAATTTTATTACTTTAATATCGTATTTCCTTTGTTTTTTCGCTAAAAAGGATTCCTCGCCCCACTATGTTTCGGCCTATTTTATCGGTTTAAGGACCTACTTTTAGGTCTTTTCAGGGAAAACACAGTTTCAGCATTCCCTCCGCTTTTTTAAAGTTGGTTGTATGTTTACCAATCGGTGTGTTGAAATGTCTTTTTTCGTTATGGAAAATTATTTCCAAATTTATTGGAAAAGCTTAGGTTTTTCTCAGAAACTTCTGCTGCTTTTTAGAAAAGGGTACAAATTGAAAGACCGCCTACTCCTCGGTGTGCCTGCATACTTCCCTAGAGAAAAAGTCTGGGGGAATATTTGACCCTGATTCTCAAAAACTAACCCTCTCAAATATTGAATTTTCAGTTTCAGTGAATCGAATGGTTTCGAAAAAGGGTCTGGAAATGCTGCCTCATTTTTGACAGTTTTGTGAATCTTTATGACTTCTTTCGGAAAATATCCTCTCAAATCTGATATTGTGGGTTTAATAGAGATAACGGGTAGTGGGGAGCTCCACTGCTTAAGCGGCCACTAACAAAATTGTTTGCAGAGAAATTTTTTGCCCTTGGAACAGTCTATTCAAAAAGTTAACCAAATGGTCAAAAATTTGATAGGTCTTATAGCGATAACTTTTTAAAACGGTCCAAAATTTGAGTATTCCGATGGCCATAACTTTCTGTAAAAAAATTTGGGCTTAGCCGCTTGCGCTTATGCAGGCAGCTTTTTAAAACCGTTCTTTTTTCTGGAAAAATACCCTGCCATATCTGAGATTTTGGATTCAATTCAAAGAACGGGTTGTGGGAATTTTTCTGACAACTAAAGTTAAGGTCCTCGGAAAAGTCAAAAGTATGATTTTTTAAAAGTTTCTGTGAAAGTATCTCGAGAACTACAATCTTTTGGGTTTTTTTCTTGGGTTTTTCTCGCTAACTATTCTGCCAAATCTGATATAGGTGTTATCGAAATAACAGGTTGTTGAAAGCCTACTTTTACAATTTACTATGTCCATTTTGTTCAAGAAAAAACTATGGCGCCTTCAAACAAGTCAAAGTTTTGAAATTTTGACAGTTTTTTGCGCGAAAACTACCGTGCCAATTCTCATGTCGTGTTTTGTCGAGAAACCCGGTTTTGGGAATCTTCTCTGCTGGTCAAGCTAAATCTTGTAAAGCTAAGCGGCCACAGTTTAATGGGGGAAAATTGATTATCTCCAAATTTGGTGCGAAGCTTTTTACTCTTCTCACTTCTGTTAGTAGAGAAACAACTAAAGCTTTGGGCAAACTTTTGAAATCTTATTTTTCATGCCGCACCAGTAAAGCAGTGTTTATTCAATATCAAAGACGTATCCCCAGCTTTAGCTGCGCCCCTAGACATACGAAAATTTTGGATCACCTAGTTTTTTCAACCCTTAATTTTTTTTAATATGTTTTTTCATGCTTGTTGTATCGCAAGTGGTGCGAAGCTCCGCTTCGCTTCTTTGTTAGAAATTTTTTTTTCTTTTCGATATTCTGTAATGGAATGATTGAATTGTATCGCAAGTCAATTTATGATGAGCAGCTTTGAGGGCGATTTATTTTTAATGCTTTACCTGTTTCAGTAGGGATGGATTGTAAAAATTTTACTTCAAAATATTTTATAGCTAGATTTTTATGTCGTTTCGTTTGTCTGATTTGTTTAGGTCTAGTTCCTTAATAGGAGTCGACCCAAGTTTTTTTCCCTCTAGTTACTGCTCGGTATCTACTCAATTCTAATGTAATTCTCCGAGACAAAGGTATGAAATTTTTGTAGATAGTTTTTTGGACATTTTTCAAGTTATTTTTTCAGCTTATTTTGTTTTTGGAAAAAAGACCATCTTGTTTTTTTTTGTTGTATCTTTTGATTCCTTGTTTTGTAATGCTATATTTTAATTGTATCTGTTTATTGTGTTTTATTTGTAAAAGCAATATAGTTGTAAAACCTAAAATATTGATTATTTTAGATGAACTTTGTCTGTTTACTGTCCGATCTGTTCTAATGTTAGGTGATGAAGTGATTACAAATGTCCCAAATTGCAAGTTTGTCCAAACTTATTCTCAGTCGTCTAGCCGACCTGAAAAATAAGCCAAAATGTGAACCAATTCCTAAAACCGAATCCGATCAGCAAGATGGCAAAAAGAAAAACGATGATTTGAAAGTAGTTACTGACTTTTTTGTGAATGGCGATGGATCGAAGCTACTTTTAGATCTTTCGGCTTGTCTGACTTTCGGTGTAAATGTATCATCGGCTTCCGAGCTCACCGAAGTCCTGCTGGATATAATATCAGAACTTATACAATCAGTATCAGATAATTTGTCGCAAATCGAAAACAATGAAAGTCAAAATTGCGAAATTTGGAAAAAATTGCCAGCTGACTTTCTGGATAAACTCCTAATCCAATTTACATCTCAATATTTAGCCTCCCGAAAAGAGTTGCCCCATGAAAAAGTTTCGAAAAAACTAAGAGTGAAACAAAAACCGAAACGGTCCAAAAGTGAAGACGAGAAAAGCACTTCAGATGATGAAAAGCCGGCTTTGAAAAAAGTAAGGAAGAGGCGGCATTTGAAATCGGGGCGAAAAGTGCTGGAAAGAACCAACGCTATTAAACTGACAAAAAGCTGCAAAAGCGGAAATTTCAAAGTTGCGACAAATAATGTCGATAGGTGTTCTCACATGAGTTACACAGCAATTGAGAAACTAAGCATCGACAACAGGACCTCGCATGTTTTAGATGAGTTCGCGCAAGTTGAGGTCAAAGAAAATCAAGAACCAAATGTCTCGAAAGATAGTTCGCGTGATGGAGTTTTGATTAGTGTAGAAAATGGCGTTGCTGCTCCTTCGAAAGTAGCAAACGATCTAATGTTTTTACCGGCTCCAGCGCTGAACCTACCCGATACCGAAAGGCAGTCGAGTTCTTTAAACGTTGATCAAGAAGTGCAAACGTCGAGACCTGTGGTCGAACTAAAAGTTCCGAAGCGCCTGGAATTAGTTCTAGATCTGAATCAGAATCTGTTCAGCTATCTCGAAAATCTGACAGTAGAAGACTCAACAGACGTGCTTAGTCTACTGTTGGCTACAATAAGTAGACTGCTTTTGTGCGAAAACACGTGCCCGAGTTCTCTGACTCGGCCTATTTGGAAGTCGGTTCTCAAATGGTGCTCGCGAATCATCAGAAACAATACCTCGTCAAAAGCAACTTCTCATTTGAAATGCATGTCCAAATTTACTTCGCTTTACATAGTAGACTTAATTTGCTCTTTCATGGTGCTAAATTTGACGATCTTCACATATGTCGTCCTGGGTGACGAAAAACGTCGTCACTCAGCCAAATCGGATCCGTTAGTTGGCTCGGATATCGATTCCACTTTTGCCGATTTGGTTTCGGCTGTCACTCGAGTTCACCAATTTAGTCTCGCAAATATCGACGACCAGTTTGTAATCGATCGAGTTTTCGGCTGCTCATGGCGAGTTCTCTCTCTTTTCGGATACCTTTGGGACCGGAATCGAGACCTTATGAAGCATATCACAAAGCGAAGCTCGGCGTCACTCATTACGAACAGCAGTAGCATTAAGCAGATGGTACTTCTGAGACGAATTGATTTAAAAGACGATGAAATTGTTGGGAAAATAGTGAGCGTGATCAAATGTTTGGGCTCGGATCACGTGAACAATGACCATTCAACGTCGTGTCCATTCAAGATAGTGTTAGATCTTTTAGTCAGCTGCATGCCTCTTTTTCTGGAATGTGAAACGCATACCGAAGTAATCAGAACGACGCTGGACATAAAACTGTGTACATGCCAACAGTTGGAATCAAGTTTAGGATTCTTGGAGGAATTTCTGAAAAAATTGTCGAAATCTCTCATAAAACGAAATTCGAAGAAAAACGAAAATGACGAAATCGATCCGAATGTTTTCAAAAATGACAATCAAAATATGGAGTTGATAATCGCGTTTATGACCAGAATAACTTGCTATCCTGAAAACTTGTCAGACTCGAAGTTTAAGTTTTACAAACGAATTTTGCAGAAAACAAACGAAAAAGTTCCCCGTCAGTGTCTGCAAAATTTCATTTTGAAATCCATTTCTCAGCGAGATTTTAATACCGATAATCTGTTTGCATTGTGTAGTATTATACACGTTCCAGTATTGCGGTTTCTGAAAGACAAATTGTCGAAATTTGAACTTATGAAAAGTTTTGCTGAAGGTCAGAACGAATTTCAACTCGAAAGTTCATCTGGTGACCTAAGTAAAAAAGGTCACGCTTTGCCGCCAATGATGAAAGAGCGAATGGGAAACGACAAAAAAGTAAGCATTTGGTCTGAAAATGTCGAACGCGGTCTTCTACCGGAACTTGTGATGCGGGCTTCGAAAGATCTTCCCGTGGATTTGTTCCACTACTTGCTGAAGTTTACACAACTGACAGTTCACTTCTTCAAAGATGCTCTAACTCGCGAACTCAACGGAATTGAAAAATCAATTGTGGAGTTTTTAGGCGTCAGGAAGCTACTAACATTACAATTGGACTCCAATACGGTCCAAGTGGTCAGAGAAAAAGTGAAAAACTCGCGAAATATTGACTTGGCCTATTTGAAAAAATTGAAAGAGAAAGCGAGTAGATTGACTACTATGTCGAAAAACGTGGTAGAAATGATCGTCAAGTCGCTCGAATCTAAATCTATGGTTCTGCTGCTGTTTTCAAGCCATAATTTCTTCAAACCTGCTGAGTTCGCAGCTTTATTGATTCAATGTTATCTAAACAGTGAAAATTTATCAAACCAAAAACAATCAGATTTTGTTGGTAATATCTTGCAGCCATTGGTGCTTTTTTGTGAACATTTCAACGTCGGGTTTCTATGTTTCTCAGAAGATGTCAGAAAACTGATCTTGAAGTTGAAGAAAGAAGAAAAAGTTAGCGACCAGAAGTTCAAAGACGAAACTGAAAGAAGTTCGTCTGAGTCGTCCGAAAACTTAGACGTCATGTCTGAATATGAATTAGTTAACACACCTTCCACTCATTTTTCCAACTTGAACAATGGGCTGAAAAGAGACAGTACTATGCGCAAACGAACCCTGGCTGGGTTTTCAATCGAAAGTATATTGAAAGCAGCGGACAAAAACAAAATAGCAAACCTGCGATTTCCATTCAAACAGTCTTTCGTGATCGATTATTTCAAAGTACTGAAAAACTGTATGAAACTATTTCACGAATATTTGGCGTTAGAAAAGACACAGTTTGATGCGTGTTCGTCGGTTGAATTAGATAGTTCAAAAATAACCGAAATGATACTGACCAATTTAAGTGTAATGTTGTTCACATTGCCCAAAATTGAATCAAGTTGCACCCAGCCGATGGCTGCAGCTGGCCTAGGACTCCTCGTTGAAGGTTTGCACGTACTGTGCTGTGAAAAGATTATCAACTTACGCGGAATCGAACGCACGTTAGTCGAGCAGTTGTCGTCATCATTTGTTCACTCTTTAAACAACTGTTCTTTCAAGTTGGCAGTCGAATTGGTGAACATTTTGTGGAGTTTCACTTTTTATGGAAACGAATCAGAGAAAAAACATGCAGTTTTCGGAGAGGTGTCAGAAAAAAGTGAGAGTCACGACTCTTCAAGTGAAGAGAAAATCAACAGCGAAGGACTTGCTGATGGTTCATCCGATTTGGATGAAAGTTGCGACAAGACAAGTGCCTCTAATTGTGTTCACATTGAAACTTGTTCGCCGTGCAGGCCAAAAGAACCCACTGAGTTCTGTTTCAACCCCCAAGTTCTCCCCATGTTCTTGAAAGTTCTGTTCTCTCTGAAATCGGCGGACGTGCTAAATTTCTATTTCAACAAGCTAAACTCATTTTTCAGATCGCTAAAACAGGAAAAGCTAAATATTTCTCAGAAATTCATATTCGAGACGTGCAACTTGTCGCTTTCAACGATGGCTAAATCTCTCTTTGCTAACACAGATTTGCTGATTAAAGTTCTGGAACCCCTCTTAAGTATGTTGGAAATTCTATCCAAAAACTACGTTCTGTCTTCCGATTTGCTTTTGATTTTCCGACTTTTTCTGAACAAAACTGTTCCCAAATTAAAACTGTTAGACTACTTCGAAAAAATTGCAAAGGCATCTGAAAACGGACCCCAAACAGTTATGAAGTTTGACAGTAATAACTCCAAAATGTTCGAAGTTGTGATGAAATCAAAAGAAGTTTCCGTGCTTAGGGATTTGAGCCAAGGCTTCAGTTGCGCCTGCTGGATCAAACCATCGTTAAACCAAACGAACCTAGAAGAGGCTTACCACAAGTTTCCCGTTAAGTTGCACATGAACGTTCACATATTCACTTTCACCACAGTCCAAAGCAAGGTTTCCTTTTTTCTCAAATCTGCCGATGAAAGTGGGAAAAAAGAGGAGAAAGGCTGGAGTTTGGTTTACATCATGTCCAGAATCAGACGCAATGTGACATCTCTAGACCATGTGCCTCCCATTGCTGGAAAAGTTGGCCTCGCGCCAGAGTTCGATTTGAAGATGGACGAATGGTGCCACGTGTTTTTCTCAGTCGACCAATCGAAAACAGTATCTTTTGTGTTCAACGGAATGTTTTCGGCTAAATGCGAAACTCCGTCAGATGAATACAGTTTGTCGGCTAGTCGAGACTTGGTGATCAGTTTAGGTGCGTGCACAATGCCGACTGACTTAAATTACGACAGACTTCCGAAAAAATCAGAGCCGAAAATATCAACGTCTGTTAGATTTTCAACATCAATTTCGATAGCAGAAAAACCGATTTGTCAGTTCGAAAAACTGTTGAAAGACGTGAAATATTCACTTTACATAGGATGTGTGACAATTTATGATTCGCCGTTACAAAAGCGGTACGCCTTGTGCATGTGGCTCAGCGGGCCGAAAGCCTTTTTGTCGAATAAAGGAGCTCTAAAACCGCAACCAGCTCGTTATCTGACCCGAAAATCAGCCCAGTACTACTATCAAAAACAACGCCAATACGGGTCTGCTTACGGCAAAGATTTGGATAAGTTAGTCCAGAGTCTAATGATTTGTGTCGACCCGAACTCAGGTTTTGTAACGAGTTACGATAGCTGTTCCGATCAGAAGGAAAACCAAATTCCCAAGTTCAATTGTCTGCCATCATCTCACCCTTTACCCTCACATGTTCAAATTGAAAAGATTCTCAATTTTGAAAGCGCTGTTGACACAATTGGTGGTCCGAACGTCATTTTATATTTTTTTGCCGTGATCGTCGAAGATTTAAAACTGAGCGAAGACAAAATGGTTGCTGAGAACGAGCAATGCCGGGCTTTAGCTATTGCTTTGAAATATTTTTCACAAATTGTACATACAGACACTAACTTCAGAATGGACGAAGATGTTTTTGATGCGTTTGAACCTATTTTAGCCAGTCGAAATGTGATCTTTTCCGAGAAATTGGTCAACTGTTTCATCAACGCCGCTTGTGAAACTTCAAGCGAAAAAATGGAAACGCAAATTGAAGCAAAAGTGGACTTTTTGATTAGGAACGAGGATGTGCTTCTGTTTTTCTTCAAGCACAAATCGTTGTGGACAATTGAAAGAGCGACCGTTCTCATGTATTACGTAACTCAAGTCCAAAGTTGCATAACCGAATCTAGCTCGTCAGTCATCATTCACAACCGAAATCTCATGATGGAAAAAGGCATTCTGGACTATTGCATAACGCTCATCTGGAACTGGAGCTTAAATGCGGACTTTGAGCAACTAATCGACTGTCTCATAATGTTCCTGGTTCAGCTGCTTTTGACCGACATAGAACAAGTCACAGAAAAGGAAAAGTCGCTTCAGTATTCAATCGTGGAGCAAGTAGAACAATTGATTTGCCAACTGCATCCAAACTCAAACGCATTTCTGCACCATGCCGATTCTGCATTTCAATTCTTAGATCGGACCAAAAAACTTGTGGCAGACATTGAAAATATCAACCAAATCGAAATGAGTGGAAACCTAACCCGAAATGACGTAATAGACACTCAGATTGGCCAATCGACCACGTTTAAATCAGACGTTATGTCACAGTTCTTGGATGACGTAACCAAGTCTTTTGACCCTAATGACGTAACAAGTGACGAGTTATCTTCAGATGATGCGAAATTGCGAGGCGGAACGAGTGGCAGTAATACTATTGTGTTTGACTCTGGCAACGAAACGGGAGGCACGGAAGCAACGTTTAAGAACGGCGCTTCAATCGATGAAAGCTCCCGTCTAAATGTTTCGATGTCGGAAACCATGTTGAAAGTCATAGTCAAACTATATACGCCTCAATGTTTGACTTTAGACTTCTCAGATTTAGTGAATGTTCAACTTAAATTGGCGCCCAAATACTGGGCAGTTTTGTTCAACAATTCAGATGTTAGAGTTTCGAGCGCGCTTTTGAACCTGGTGAGGAAAGTGTATGAAATAGCGGGCAATGCTGCTCGAGATGACTTTATTCGCTGCAAATTCTTCCATATCATTTCTTGCCAACTTTACATATCCAGACAAGTTTCGGAGGAGTTGATCCATAACGCATTAGCTCTTTTCTTTGCATCGCAGGAAATCGTCACTTATTTGAACTTTCCAGACGTTGATCCAAAAAGAGTTAAGAGTTGGCTTTCAAAGAAGTACCAGGCCATGTTCCATATCGAGGCGTTTCCTATTTTGCTGACCCTGTTTCTGAACTGCAGTACTTCGTGTTCGAATAGCCAGTGGCATTGTGAAATGGCCACTTCTCTTATGACCCTTTTCAATTCTATCTTCGCCTGCTGTGAAAAGTCACGTGGAATAATGCTCAAATTTGGTATCATACCCGCAGTCTTAAATGCCTCCATCGAAATTTTCCAAAGGCACACGTCGCCTGTAGTTTTGCACGTTTTGATGAAACATATCACCGAGTTCTTAGCGACTGTTGCGGAGTTTGCGATTTTGAGTCCAGAAACGAAAGATCAGTTTGTTTCTAATCTTCTGAGACATTTAATTGACTCTCTATGTGTCGTTTGGAACCGAGTGGCTACCATGACCACTGATGAGTATTTGAAGGACCAAATGAACATTCTGATTTTTCAAATGTTTTCATACGTTTTGAAGATTTCATTCGAACGGCTCTTGTGTTTCAAAACAGTTTTCAACCCTCAATCACACTCTAAAACGGAAGGCAGCTTGAAACGGATGCTCTCTTTCAGCACTTCGAAAGCCGCCAAGCCGAAATTACTTCAGACCATTGCTAGCTTGGATACGTACTCAGATGAAACAGATAGTCTAACTAGTATGTCGGATAGCAGAACAAACTTAAAATTTTCGACCGAAGACTTGACTCAAAGCTTACTTTCCTTGTCATCGTCAAACCTAATGTTTCGAAGTGCTAAAAACTTGTTCTCTGTTTCAACAAACGATCTTTTCTCGGATTTCAAAGACGAACCAAAGCCCGATACTCTTTTCATGGAGTTCAATAACGTTACAAAACTCATGACTGAAAATAAGCCGAAATTTGTGGTCGAGAAGTTCAAGTATATTTTGACAGCAATGAAGCATTTGGCGATTTTTTCACTGCCTTCAAAAATCACCTCCGAACAACATAAAGCGGATTGGTGCTTCAAGTACCACGATTTTGCAGAATATTTCATTAAGAGGCTGCGTGAAGTTCTAAGTTCGTATTTGACAGCTGCATCGTCCACTAAATGGGTTCGAATTTTGAAAGATCTCAAGCCTGTGATGATATTATGTGTCGAACAGCTTACCCATGTTCTAATTAGCCCGGACTATTATGGCCCGATCCAAACGTTACCGTTGCTGTTTTATACGGACCAGTTTTTCGAAGTGATTGTTAAAGCGGTCTATGGTTGTTTGTCATCGACGAAGGAAACAGAGGATATTTTATTGAATAATTTCACAAAGCAGAGGTTGGATTTAGTTTACAATGAGTGCCCAGATATTTCGTCGAGTCATAAGAAAGTGATAAGAAGATTGGAACTGTCGATCCCAATGAATTCCACCCCGTCGGCACAACAGAAACTGCTGATTTTCCCACAAAGCAGTCTTTACATGAACGGAGCACTCCAGAGAAATTTCAGCACGGAGCAATCGGCCAATTTAACATCATCGATGTCTCTAGACGAGGACAACAACTTAGGTTGGTGTAGTGCTCAGTTTTGGCGCCAAAAACGGGCATCTTGGATGTTGGAAGTTTCGGAACCCAATCAGTATTGGACTTGGACTTATTCTGAACTGCATGAAAGTATAATCCAAGCTGCGATTGCTGTTGAAACTCCGCTTTCGAGAGAGTGGCTAGAAACGCAAGCTAGATTTCTGAAACGAAAAAGTGAGAACCCTCAGAACTTGAAACTATTAGCTTATGGGGTCAATTCAGTGACGCATCCAGGAGCAGTATGGCACGAAAGCTCAAAAGGGTGTCAATTTTGGCAACTTGACCAAACCGAAGGCCCTTTGAGAGCTAAAAAGCGACTGGAGATGTGTATGCTAAACGTAAATCCGAGACATCTGCGTGGTGACTCAAATGATTTTATTAAAAAAGACGATAAATTAACGAAAACTTTGACGAAGTCAGCGATGTCCAACAGCTCAATTGTAAACGAAAAGACAGGGTACCTCGAGTACATTTTCAGCAAATCTTCTGTCCCGAGTACAGCCTTCTCTTTTTCGTCTATGTCCACGACCCGAAGAGCCGACCAAAACCCCGACTATGAGCACGACTCCAATCTGGGAATTGTAGCGACGTATCCTTGCAACAGAATTCTACCTTACTGTGAAATTTCAGGCGAAGTTCTAATCAGTGACGTAAACTTATTCTTCTGGCCGAACACTTCGACTTCATTAGCTTCCTCGACGTTCAACTCTGCCCTGATTGGTTCAAATAGCACAGAGGATTTCAAATGGCCCTACACCAGTATACGCGAAGTGCACGAAAGGTTGTACTCGTTGAAAGATTGTGGCATCGAAATTTTTTTCACGTCGGGCTTAAGTTGCATGCTGTCTTTCGAGGATCGGAAAACGCGAGATTTGTTCCACCAGCAGTTTTTGGACCAAAATTTACCAAATCTAGTAAAGGGACGAATTTTGGAAGAGTCAGTTAAAGCATGGTCAAGTGAATACCTAACGAATTTTGCGTACCTTACAGCTGTGAATAAATTTGCGGGAAGAAGTAGCAACGATTTAATGCAGTACCCGGTTTTCCCCTTCGTTTTATGCGATTATGAATCAGATGAACTAAATTTGCAGAACCCAGCTGTGTTCCGAGACTTGGCCAAACCGGTTTCAGTTCAGAAACCAGAAAAGGAGCATATCTACGAGACAAAGTACAAAGAAATGACTAATAATGAGTTCACAGGACCCACAGATTTTGGGCCTTATCATTACAGTTCACTGTATAGCAACTCGGGAATAGTGTTGCATTATTTAGTGAGGTTGTTGCCCTTTTCAAGGATGTTTTTGCACTACCAAGGCGATAGTTTTGATATACCAGACCGGACGTTCTTCGATATCGACAGCACCTGGAAACTAGCTGCTCATACATCCATGACAGATGTCAAGGAACTCATCCCAGAATTTTTCTACCTTCCTGAGTTTTTACTGAACAAGACTAATTTCGAGTTTGGCGAACGGCAAGATAAACAGATCGTTCATCATGTACACCTGCCAAAATGGTGTCTAAATGACCCTAGACTTTTCGTGCTCATTCATAGACAGGCTCTCGAAAGTGCACACGTGAGCAAATATCTGCACAAATGGATTGATTTGATTTTTGGGTACAAACAAACGGGTAAAGCTGCTGTGGAAGCCCATAACGTGTACCGGCCATGTTTGTACTACGGATTCGACTTGGACCAAATTGGGGATCCGCAGAGTCGAGAAGCTGTTGAGAGAATGATTCGGACTTACGGCCAGACCCCCAAGCAGATTTTCAGGAACCAACACCCTGGTCGCGGAAGGAACTCTGGTACCCAAATTTTGGACATAAAATTAGTTGACTTCGTTTTTGGAGGCGCGCTAGGAATGGTCACTTTGAGTGACGAAAACGTTGACAAATTGAACCCCAAGAAACCATCTTCGCCTGTGCCCAGTGTTTTCGGGCTTAAATGGGGGAACTATTGCGGCTCGCCTGCCTTAAGGGAACCCACCGAGTGTTGGAGTTCCTTCTATAGACCTCCTATCGTTAACATGGTGACCATTCATCGTCGGACAGTCGGGGTCCCGATCAACAGCGTGTTCTTGCACCGACATCAGAAAGATCTCGGGATCCACGAAGAGAGTGAAAGCTCTGAACATGGACTTCCTGTCACGTGGTACGGAGTGCTTCGATACGGATTTCCTGACAGGTTTCTTCGATTCTCTTTTCGCAACAGCTCGCGATGGAAAGTGTTACTGCGCGAACCTTTCGATGACCCAGTTACATGTGTTTGCATATCAGCAGATTCGCATACACTCTTCGCCGGATGTGAGTCTGGACTTATTTGGTGTGCACTTGTGAAAACTTTCGATATAGATTTTCGTTCAGGCAAATCGGACAAGCTAGAAACCGAGACTAAAATAGTTCCTCATTGTCGAATGCCATTTCACACCAAGCGAGTAAACGTCTTATCAAGTTGTAGACCGTACAGTATTTTCGTGAGCGGGTCTGAAGACTGCAAAGCTGCTATTTGGGATCTGAACCGGAACCACTTCGTGCGAGCCATCAGCGTCTCAGGACCTGTGAAGAATGTTACAATAAGTGAAACGCTCGGCGATATAGCGGTGGTTTACGAAACTGTTGAGTGTATAAATGTGGTTGCGGCGTACACGATTAATGGGGATATAATTGGAAAATGGACCTCGGACAGTGGCGAGCGAGTGACAGCAATCGCGTATTCAAACGCGCCGGAAGGTATCTCGATAAATCTCATTGTCGTCGGACTGTCTTCGGGAGCGCTTGTCACTTTAGACTCTTGGCTCGTCAATCAATGTCGTGAAATGACGATAGCCGAATTTCATGGACCGGTTGTTGCGGTGACATATCGCAGTGACGCTCAGATACTTTACGTGTCATTTGAAGACGGATGGCTTTGCGCAATGGGGTCGAAAGAGTTGAACGGTGACCAGAAAAAGTTCCTCCCAATGGCTGTGAATGTCTTCAGTCCTGCAATACTGGCATCGGGATCTAAAATTGCCCCGCAAAGAATTCCAAGCATCGTATAGTTTCAAGCTCCTGAGAACTACTTAGAAGTTCTTATTGGTTTTGAGTGGTTCATTTAACATTTAATATTGTGTAAATTCATCGAGGTATATTTCAAGACAATCTGCTAGTTTTTAATTGCGTATTGCCTTAGAATTTGTTGTTTCTGGTTAAAAAACTCGTTGTACCAAGATTTGAGGCCTTCGATTCAATTTTATCAATAAACTTATATCAATAGTTAGTGATTATGAATTAGTTAGTAGTTAGAATTTGAACTGTTGCCATTGCTTAAAGTTGCTTACAAGTATTTATCAATTTTTCTCACTTCTCAATCAATAAGATTTATAAATTGAAATATTTTTTGTTTTTCTCTCTTCTGCACAAGAAAAGTAGATAAGTATTAAAAAGAAAATCACATTATAAAACTAATCAAGCACACTTCAAAGCTCATACCGCAAAAAGTTCTGGCTACGATTATTTTCTTTGCAAGAATATTTTAGAATAAAAAATAATACGAGAATCGGTGATTTAGGAAAAAAGTTTTGAAAAAAAAAGAAAAAATTTGATAAAAAAGGCATGTTCTAAGTTCAATTTTTTTTGATAATTTATAATTTTTTTCTAGAAAGAGCTCTTGAATTAGTTCATGAATTGCTAGAATGAGTGATCATAAAGGCTAGAAAAACGCCTGTATTCAAATTATTAAATTTAGTATAAAAATCGACGCTACAGTGGACAGGAGTAGATATTAACAGCTATATCAAAGTTTAACGAAACTTCTAATCTTAGAAAAGGAAAAAATAACTTCACCGCCAAAGTTATGTGCAACACAACCCTTCACTGTGAATTTTTTTGAAATGAAAGTTTTATACCAGTTTTCTCAGCACTCAGCTCTACAAGGAATTTTAAAAAGATTTAACTATCGGTCGAATCACGACTGAAAATTCTTTATTATGACATATAATTTGCCCAAATCTGACGTTTTTATCCGGATTTAAGTCGGTAGTAAACACTCGAAAACAAAGTTTCTTCCCCTTTAAGGTCAAAACAAACAAGATTAACCTGAGTATGAACGAAGTGATTTGCTCAACATTTAAATTAATTAATTGTTTAACACTTTGGTTTGATTAGGCTTGCGATTAGCAAGCGTTATCAAACTGGAATATAGACTTTTTTCTAGTTAAAAACTAGTTCATCAAAATCATAAACTTTTTTGAAACCTAAAATATTTAATATTGAGTTTTGTACTAGTGACTGTACTCATAGAGAAATTTCAGATAAGGTACACCGTCTGCTCGTCACGCTATCTTATTTTGGGCAGGATAGATTCGTGCAACTTCTTGGTCTAATACCGATCTTAATATTACTCTTATATCTAGTCTCAATAGATCTAGTGTATACCGGTTTATGCGAGTTAGTTGCCAGTAGGAAAACAACTGTTTTCTAAGTTTTATTCAATTTGTTCTGGTGCTTAAACTACAATTAGTTTCAGCACTTACAAATAAGTAGAAATATTAGAGATGGAATATGATTAGTTAGTTATAAATATTTTATAGTGATATTCAATCATAAATATAATCGGTCTATAAATGCTAGTTTAGAATTGGTTCCATCCATTTGGGGTTTAGAGAGTGTTTAGTTTTTAATTGTTTGATGTAGTGAAGTCGGGTGATGTAGTTGAAGTTGCGAGCATTGACTTCTGGGAGAAAGGAGAAGTGTGGCTGTTTGTGTTTGACGGAGAAAGATTGTTATGTTCGTGTTTCTAGATGGGTGTCGTTGATCGTGGTAGTCTTGGGTGATTGTGTCAAAACTTCTGATCGATGCAATGATGTATCGATTTCGTTAAGTTTAGAGCGAGACTACGTGCAGGGTGAAGTTTGACTTTTCCGTGTGAAGTGCCAAGTGACTAGGATTGGTACGTGTAGTCAACATCGAGATGGTCATTGGTCTGGTTAAATGGTTTTCCTTTGCTGCGATGTTGAGTCCATCCTTTAAATCCTTTGAGGGTAGTGCCTTTAGGCAGCAAATCGAATAGATTTGCCATTCCGAAGTTGGAATGTGATTGGGTTGTCGTCTCCTTTGCTGCTCGTTCCTTGGGCTCTAAGAAATCTATACATACTAAATTTATGGTTTACATATATAATTTCCTTTTGTTAAATAAGTTTTAGTTATGATTTGTTATTAATTGTTATCGCAAAAGCGTTTTACTTTTTTCGGTAATTTTTCAAGAGTCGCTCACACTAGAGCAATTCTTGGCAAAAATAGAGTGTGGGTCATAGAGCGTAGTGTAGCGCGGTGGGTTAGGCCGGCTATAGAGCATGCTCAGGACGTCCCTCTGGTTGGTGAGGCCAGGAGTGGGGTATATTTTAATGGTCTCTTTGTGCAGAGTCTCTTTTTGTGTTCAACCTTTTGCTTCGTTTTTTTAATTTGTTTTTCTTTCTTTTGTTTTGGTTGTGTCTTTTTCTCAAAAATAGAATCTTTTGGTTTGGACTTGTCTTTCGACTTTTTGTATTTTACTTGATTGTGGTAAGACTTGAAAGTGGTCTTCAAAAGAATAAATTAATCTGTTTTAATTTGGTTTTCATCTGCTTTGGGTACCGTGGGTTTTTCTTTCTTAGTCATGCTATTAGTTTGTGGTTTTGTGAAGTTAGTAAGCTGCGTTGGTTATTTCAGTTTACTATATAATTCCTTCCAACCGGATTAAAGGAAAGTTTGAAACGTGTGAAAACTGGTTAGAGTTGTTATCGGTGAAAGTTACAACTTGAAATTCATTATTTAAACAATTCTTTGTGGGCGAGCTGTGCGATTGTGGAAAGAGTGTCTGATTTATGGTCGGATGAATGAATTATAAAAGAAGCGTCTTGTAAAGAGTTCGTATTTTTTTAAATTTATCTGCAATTTTTCTGAATTTACTACATTGAAATATTAGTTTTACTGCTGTTGAGGAATTTAATTTATTAATTTACTGCTTTGTAAAAGAGAATTTACTACGTTGGAGGATTATTTAAGAATTTATTGCTATTTTGAGGTAAATTTTACTGTTTTCATTTTTAGTGCAATTTGTTAAAATGAGTTTTGAATTTCTATAAAAGAGTTTTCAATTTTTTATTTATTTTTTTTTTGTTTCAGATGATTGTGTGATGAAAATAAAAAGAAAACTAAAACCTTTATGAAGAATGGTTACTTGTGTTTTGGATTTTATTAGTTAAAAATTTATTAGTTAAAGATTTTATTTTTAGTAAAAATTTAGGAGTTCAAGTGCTTTGATGATCTTTTCCTCTTCACTTCTTGGTGAAAGTTCGTGCGGAGTGTTTTGGATTAGATTATATAGTTTATGGTTATACTTAGTGTTGTGCATATATTCTAGGATTGGGACTTCAACGGGCTGTATATATTCGTGAGGGACAATTAGTGGACGGGATTCATCAAGGCTGAAAGTTTTGGATAGTTGGCAAAATATATACATGTGTCGTATAGGGTCGTAATTTCTGATGGTACCTTGCATGTAAGTGTCAGTATGTAAAATTTAAGAAGAAGATTGGAGTATATTTAGAGTTAATAATTTGAAATCGATTTTGGCGGTTTCGTGATTGCGTATTAGTTGTGTAATGGTGTTGGATAAATATATATTAAGTTTATGTGTGAGTTTGTTTAGTGCGTAACATTATTTGATCTGAGCAGTGTAAGTCGCGGTCTTTTGGTGTTAAAAAATTTATTCAGACGTAGAGACATTTCTATTAAATTATCAAATCCGTCTATTTTTTTTTGCCATTTTGCTATTTTTCATATTCTAAAATGTATTATTTTTCTTAATCTAAGTTACTTAAGGTCTTGTTCGAGACATTAGGTTGCACCAGATGAGTTATGTACTAGTGACTCTACTCATAGAGTAATTTCAGATAAGGTACACCGTCTGCTCGTCACGCTCTTTTATTTTCGGTCGGATAGATTCGTGCAACTTCTTAGTCTAATACCGATCCTAATCTTACTCTTATATCTCCTAGTCTCAATAGATCTAGTGTATACCGGTTTATGCGAGTTAGTTGCCAGAAGGAGAACAACTGTATTCTAAATTTTATTCAATTTGTTCTGGTGCTTAAACTAGAAGTAGTTTCAGCACTTACAAATAAGTATAAATGTTAGAGATGGAATGTGATTGGTTAGTTATAAATATATTTTAGTGATATTCTAACATAAATATAATTGGTTTATGAATACTAGTTTAGAACTGGTTCCAATATCAAAAAATGATCGGTCTATGGGTTGTGTGCTTATGGTTTGTCTGCTCAGTTGCCACATTTCTTACTTAACCTTATTTGTGTAAGATATTTGTATATCGCGAAAGTGTATTATGTTTTTTTGATAAAGTTTTTTTTACACTTGCGAGAGCAAGTGTCTTGTTATCGGAAACCAGACTTTTTTCCCGTAAACAAGTTAAAAATATTTAAGTTATCCTAAAACGCCTCCCTCTAAGGTAAACTCTGTATCCTTTGTATCACTACCCGAAAAATTGGTTTTCCAGGACGACGTTTTGCCAGAACTACTTGATGGAAGCTATCGCAACTCCGGTCCCGCAACAGTCGACTTTTCAACTTCTACCTCTCCAACCTCCTAGACAGCTCAGTTCCCCCTCTATGTTTCACTTGTCCACTTGCATCCCACTCATTCTACTACTTGCTCAACTCTCCCAAAACCCATCCCTACTCACTCCTGTACACCTGTGACCTAGGTTGTTGGTGCCGCGAACATTTAAAACCTGGTGACTAACGAGCCCAACCCGACAAATGCGGGCTATTATACAAGCAAACAAACTGGAACTGTTTTCAATAAATCTTCACTGACTGCTGCTGAAGCCTAGAGATGGTTCATTAGCTCATGGTCTTCGGGAGTGCTTGTCACTTTAGACTCTTGGCTCGTTGATCAATGTCGTGAAATGACCGTAGCCGAATTTCATGGACCGGTTGTTACGGTGACATATCGCAGTGACGCTCAGATACTTTACGTGTCATTTGAAGACGGATGGCTTTGCGCAATGGGATCGAAAGAGTTGAACGGTGACCAGAAAAAGTTCCTCCCAATGGCTGTGAATGTCTTCAGTCCTGCAATACTGGCATCGGGATATAAAATTGCCCCGCAAAGAATTCCAAGCATCGTATAGATTCAAGCTCCTGAGAACTACTTAGAAGTTCTTATTGTTTTTGAGTGGTTCATTTAACATTTAATATTGTGTAAATTCATCGAGGTATATTTCAAGACAATCTGCTAGTTTTTAATTGCGTATTGCCTTAGAGTTTGTTGTTTCTGGTTAAAAAACTCGTTG